CGTTTAACAGAAATCTGATTCGATGAGATAGCTATCGATATCCGATTAACGTGATTTTTTTACAAGCATACAATATTCGACGAATTCTATATATTGAATGGTTCGGATTATCGAAACGAAACCTGTGATGGATCCCACAAATTCAACAATACCCTCTTGTCTAATCACGAGCGGATGGGAAGCCCAGTCCTTTTTCTGCTATGTAATACTAGAATTGAGCCATTTACTACAATGATTTACTGTCCATACCATGTCTCTTACTTTCCCATTTCCCATCTTGTCAATTTGTGTGTCTTTATTTTTATTTTTTTTAAGGGGTATTGTGGAAAATTCACCCCTTTATGCCTTCATCGGTTTTCTTTCCGGCCATACAGATCATCATTGCCTCTTTATTATTATTATTATTTATGCTTTTATCTTTTCTGCTATTTCTCTGTTGCATTTTCTTCTTTTTTTGTTTTTGGTTTTTTGTTTTACTTACCCAAAAAATCTTTTTATTTTTTTTTCATTTCTCCATTTTGATTATTTTATTTTATTTTGGCTCCTTTATCTTGTTTAATTTTATTATTTATTAAAATATTTATCTTAAAAAAGACTATATACACAATTCTCTTCTAAAAGCAATTATGAATTTGTTATGGTGTTTATATTTGTAGTGATAATTATAAATAATTTTGGTTATGTTACATAAGTCTCTCTTATGAATTATTAAAAATAATGAATCATTGTGATTAAAATAAAATAATAATAAAAAACACTTTTTTCCTTTATTTTTTTTATTTCTCTATTTTGGTTCGTGTTTGTGTTTTATTTTACAGGTGAAGCACCAATAAATTTTTAAATGTGATTTTATGAACTGTTTAGTTATTCTTTTTTTTCTTATGAACCTAAAAGTCCCATTTAAGTGAAAATTACGCAAAATAATAGTCACTTACACATTTGAGTTTAATTGTTTAGGGATAAAAGTATGTTTCTCCAAACACATTTAGGCAATTCGCACTATAAAGGTTTTAGATTTTCTTTTTTTCTGAAATAAATCTCACATTACGAACAAGAACGTAACACTCCAATGTAATATGGTAAAAGAACTCTTTAGTATACTTTTCCCAACCGTAACAACGTAACACTCTAAAAAACTCCTTAATGTATTTTTTTTTCTAAAAGTAACACTCCAATATAACACATTTCAATGTAATACACAAAAAAACTCTTTAGTGCATTTTTTTTTTCAAAATGTAACACTCCAATCAATATAATCCCAAATGTAACACTCCATTCTAACACAAAAATACTAAAAAACTCTTTCATGTACTTTTTAAAGTGTGGATTCTTAGAAGAAAAAAATTAAATTGAATTTATGAACCGAGTACCCATAAAATAAATACGTGCTCCAATATATATATATATATATATAAGTAGTGTTTTTTCGTTTCTTATGTAGCACATTCTAACTAGAGGTGTAAGCCAGGCCTCGTGGGTTCCCGCTAAAATTCGAGACGGGTCGGCCCACAGGCCAAGAAATTAGGTCCAGGGGTATTTGGGCTTTGGGCAGGCCGGTAGGTCGGGCGGCGGGCCAACTCGGTGGGCTTGGGCCAGCGTTGGGCGGGTCTAACCATTTTTTTTTTTATTTTTTAAAAATTTTTCTACCAAAATTTTATTATTTTTTATTAAAAAGACATTGGGCCTCGAGTGGGTCTTAAGCAGGCCAATGGGTCAGGCCAGGATTCAAAATGATGGCCCAGGCCCAAACGGGCCGAGCCGACCTCGGGGCGTGGGCCATTTTTACACTCCCAATTCTAAGGCTTACTTTTTTTCCAAAAAAAATCATATCAGTACGTATTTTTCATTTACATATAAAGTTTTACACAAATTCAATTTTAATTATAATACCTAATTTTATATGGACTTTATTTAAGAAATATTTGTTTTTCATGGTGTATTTTTAATTTAATTATTATGATATTTGAAAAAAGAAATTATCTTGACGTACAAAATAAATAATAAAAAAAGACAGAATATGCTTAATTATGTGCATTGCACAGCTGAAATTATTATTTTTATTTTTTTATCTATCTTATTGATGTCTTAATACTAATTTATATATATATATATATATTGGGAGATCTTTAAAAATGTGGATTATTTGATTTTTTTTTTCTTTTCATAAACTGAAATTTTGCCTCTTTTTTTTTTGTTTTTTGTTTTTTGTTTTTTTGTCTTCTACTTCTATTTTTCATTTTTTAAATTTATTTATTACACGTACCAATTTCTCACTCTAAAGAATCATAAAATATCTTCACCGTGACAACATGAAGATCAATTCACTATTTGTTTCTTTATATGTAATTTAATATTTTCACAGATTTGTGTCAAAAATTGTATCAAAACAATTTTAATAGATTATTGAATTGGACATCTAATTTTGAATCACATGACTCAATGTCAAAATATAAAATTTTAATTTTTAATTTTCGTTTAAAAAAGATTAATGATATTAATATTCGTTGTCTTCATATATAACACAATCAATCAATTGCATAAACAAAAAATTAAAGTTAGTCTCTTTATAGTTTTTTCTCATTTGAATGAAGTAAATTTTTATTTTAATCTTTGCACAATAAATTAAATTATACTAATTTGGTCTATATCTTTTTTTTTTCCGTCTTTTTTTTTTTTTTTTTTTTGGGTTTTTCATTCTTCCTCATTAAAATAGCTCTCTAAATTGATATTGATTTTATATCATTGGCATAGCTTTATTGTGTTAGAAATTAGATATGCTACGCACTAAACAAAATGTTTGGTAAAATATTCTCAATTTAAATATGTAGTGCAGATCTGAATTTAGTGGAACAAAATTGTTATTAGTATTTTAATTGAGTACATAGTTTTAATATTATCATTATTGTATTGTTTAATTTTAGTACTTAGACATAAAATTACAGGAGCTCTATTGCCAACTTAACTGTTTTAGCATAATTATATCACACTCATAAAATTTTAATTCATATATTTAGTAATATGAATAGAAAAATGACCATCTTCTTTGTATTAGGGAGTTATTTGTATTTTGTCCATGTAATTGTGTGGTCATCATTTCCCATGAGCTAGACTAGTTTGTATAATAATACTTGGGTTGGGTCTGGGCTTGAATTTTGGATTTTGGCCAACATGTCAGTCCGTGAGAGAGTCACGTGAAAAGCCCGACCATTAGACTTCCATTTTAGCACTTGTTTGTTAGCATTAGCCCCAAAAAAGAATATTGATTAGCCTGGCCCAAAAACAAAACAAAACATAACATTACAACCCAATACCCTTTCACATAACCACACACACTATTGATTATGTTAAAATTGGAAAAACCAACATATGCAGTAAACCATTAATTCACCCACCACTATTTCTTTTCCCAAAAAAAAAAAAACATCAAATACAGAAATTTGTACAAAAATTTCAATGATTGTTCAAATTTGTTCCATTTTGGGGTTGAATTTGTGATTTGTTATTATCTCATAAAACACTTATGCATAAATGGAGTTGGGGGAAAAAAAAAAATCCCGAATTAGAAAGTAAATATGATATTATGTAGAGGCCGGGCCCATCTCGGGTCGTGGGCCATTTTACACTCCTAATTCTAAGGCTTACTTTTTTTCCAAAAAAAATCACATCAGTATGTATTTTTTATTTATATATAAAGTTTTACACAAATTCAATTTTAATTATAATACCTAATTTTCTATGGACTTTATTTAAGAGATATTTGTTTTTCATGGTGTATTTTTAATTTAATTATTATGATATTTGAAAAAAGAATTTATCTTGACGTACAAAATAAATAATAAAAAAAGATAGAATATGTTTAATTATGTGCATTGCACAGCTCAAATTAATTTTTTTTTATCTATCTTATTGATGTCTTAATACTAATTTTTATATATATTTTTATAAATTGAAAATTTTGTTTCTTCTTTTTCTTTTTTCCTTTTTTTTTGGGTGTATATATTGGGAGATCTTAAAAATGTGGATTATTTGATTTTTTTTTTTCTTTTCATAAACTGAAATTTTGCTTCTTTTTTTTTGTTTTTTGTTTTTTTGTCTTCTACTTCTATTTTTCATTTTGTAAATTTATTTATTACACATACCAATTTGTCACTCTAAAGAATCATAAAATATCTTTACCGTGACAACATGAAGATCAATTCACTATTTGTTTCTTTATATGTAATTTAATATTTTCACAGATTTGTGTCAAAAATTGTAACAAAACAGTTTTAATAGATTATTGAATTGGACATCTAATTTTGAATCACATGACTCAATGTCAAAATGTAAGTTTTTAATTTTTAATTTTCTTTTAAAAAAAATTAATGATATTAATACTCCTTGTCTTCATTTATAACACAATCAATCAATTGCATAAACAAAAAATTAAAGTTAGTCTCTTTATAGTTTTTTCTCATTTGAATGAAGTAAATTTTTATTTTAGTCTTTGCACAATAAATTAAATTTTACTAATTTATATCTTTTCTTTTTTCTTTTTTTTCTTTTTCCCTTATTTTTTTTTTTTTTTTTTTTTTTTGGGGGTGTAGGGTTTGTAATTCACATTAACCCACATATGCCAATATATCACAGAAAGCCTTATGCCAATATATCACATTAACCCACATATGCCAATATATCACAGAAAGCCTTATGCCAATATATCACATTAACCCACATATGCCAATATATCACAGAAAGCCTTATGCCAATATATCACATTAACCCACATATGCCAATATATCACAGAAAGCCTTATGCCAATATATCACATTAACCCACATATGCCAATATATCACATTAACCCCCACATTGATCAGGAAATACACAAAAGAGTCCAAAACGAAATGCAAAGCAGACTTATCTGTGGAGGAAGATGAAGGGTAACCGTTTATTTTATGCTCTCAAACCAGTTTGAGAAGAAAGAAGGTTACCTAGAATTATTTAAGGGCGACATGTGGGGTTTAGGCAGTTACCGCAGTTTCAGAGTTTGAGAGCAATTCGAAGTTGACGAAGTCCTCGGCAAGAGCAATATTGCTATAACTAGTACTAGTAGTCTTGGTGCTGTCGAGAAGAATCGCTATCATGGTATAGCGACTGAGTGTAGTAAAGTCGTTTATTGTGAGGATCTCCAAATTGTCATTTTTAAGCTGAACGCTTTTATCGAAGTGTTCTCCATCTGGCGAAAGCAGAACCTGCTTCGACATAGACGACCATTCGTTCTCCATGGTCACTATCAAACCTTTTGGTGTAAAAGTGTTTCCAGCGGTTATGCTTTTGCGGACTTGTTCCTCAATGTATTTGAACCTTGCCGCTTCCGAGACCATCTGAATGACCACAATGAGCGGTTCGCCCACACTCCCACTGAACCACAACCTTGTGATGGCGTCAGATAGGGGAGTTGGTCCCAGAGGGATTTCCTCCCTCCTCCTAGCTCCTGGCTGGTTCTCAAGGACGATATAGCTGCTGTTGAAGGCTAACCGGGTTTGACTGGTGCTAACGAATAAATTGGCGAGTTGAAGTGCCGTAGCGTCGTCGAAAAAGTAGGATTTGTTATTTGCACCACTAAAAGCCACCAAATAAAGGTTCACCACATCTATTGCCAAGGTGACTGTGTAGCCAATGCCATTGATGAGACTGGCCAGAACGAACCGGTTCCCAACCGAAACTTCACTTGCGAGGTTCAGCACTGGTAGACCATTTACTGTACGGGTTCCCCGTGACACGATTTCTCGCAGTTCCTCTATGAAGTCTCTGTATTTTTCGAAGGTGGCACCCTCCACATTGAAGGAGATGGAGGGATAGGCCTGGACGTCGCCTTGGATTCCAAGGCTGCAAATTGCGAGAACAATGAATAATATCGCTGCTACCACTCTCATCTTGCTATACTTGCTATTTGCTATGAGGATAAATATTCATATATATATATATATATATAGATGATACACTATATATATTATATTCATGTAATTTGATGCTCAACTCGAGGAATACGGGCAACTTTTCATGTCAGATTATCATGTATATGAGAAGTTATTATAGTCATGTAATTTGATGCTCAACTCGAGGAACGCAAGGGCAATTCTTCATGCTAGATTATCATGTGCAGAAGAAGTTATTATATTCGTGTAATTTGATGTTCAACTCGAGGAATACGAGAGCAATTCTTTATATCAGATTATCGTGTGCATGATAAGTTATTAATTGATCTTGGAGTATTGTCGCATGGTGTCTTAATAATATTGTGATTGATAGAAGAGATAGAATTTATAAATTTTTATTAGTTAATTATAAAATAAGAAAAAAAATGATAAATTATAATTGATAAAGGGTATAATCAGGTGCTAACTCTAAACCAATCAAATAGTTTTTCCATGCAAAAGCCAGCCACCCTCATTGTTCACGTGGCCAGCGGCCCTCATTGTCCATGTGGCCACTTTTTCTTTTTTTTAATACTAGTACGAACATCGAGCGAACATGATTTACCGTACCCATGATATAAGAAATTTATATTAAGATGATAACAATACAAAATTATTTCAAAATATAATTATTAAATTCATGGGTTAATAAAAGTAAAAGTACAGGAATCATATTTAGTGAGAGTGAAAAGATTTTAAATCTTGTGGATAAATTCATAGATAATGAATATTGCTATACAAAAATAAAAATAAAAATAAAAATAAAAACTCAATGAAAGTTGAATCTTTCTATATATTTTTTTTCCGCGCTTAATCAAAGTTTAAGGTCGTCAGATAATTAATTTCACTGACTAATTTTATAGACCTCATTCGAGAACTAAAAATTTTATCCGAAAACCAAATGATTTCAAATTTGCAAAAGTTGAAAATCTCAACTTTAAGATGAAATTGACCCATTATGAAACTAATTTGTACTCATTTTGGTAATTTAAACCATTCATCTTATACAATTAACTAAGAAAATTATTAATGTAAAAAATTAAAAAGATCCAATATCGATTGTCATTCCATCAGATTATTTTTATCTATACAGTAATATATGTTTTTACAAATATATCATCCATTTGTTATAAGATATATGTAATTTGATTTTATGATTAATTATACCTAATCAATCCAATTTTTTGCATACATATTTGTCTTAACTTATTATATTAGATGAACGGTTTAAATCACTGTAAGAGTACAAATTGATACCATATTGCACGGACTTCCGTTGTAAAGTTGAGATTTTCTACTTTAGTAAAACCAAACTCTTATTTCCTATATGTATTTTTTTTTTTTTTTTTTTAAGTAAAAGGCCAAAAAATATTTTAGCCAAAAAACAAGAAATTAAAAAAAAAATTACCAAAACAACCACTTCTTAAATGAATTATACGAGAAAAAAAAAATCATAAAATTATAAGGTAGAAGATTATGTAAATCAACAAGCAAAGTAAATCGGTTTAAAACCTTCAAATACACTTGGTTGTCTATATATTGGACAAGGAGCACTGACATGGCGTAATGATATATTATACTCAATACGAATATTAACGTCACATAATATATATTTTTTATTTTTTTTATTTTATGTACCTAACATTATTAATAATTCAAAGAGTAATGATATTACAAATAAAAAAAATGATACAAAATTTATATGATAAAGACTGAATATGGCTGAATGTAAACTTCACACCTTAGAACAAACACTACATGAAATGTATGTTTTAATGGCGTTTATATGATGGCGTTTTCTTAAACGTCGTCTTTTTTAATATTTAACGGCGTTTTGTAAACGTCGCCTTTTGTGCTAATCAAAACGACACCGTTTAGCTAATAGAAAATGCCTCGAAATGTGTTACAAGCTCTCACACCCTCTCCCTCCCTCTTGAGACTCTCATTCTTTACTCTTCAGTCTCCGTAAAGAAGATGCCTCAAATCTCTCGCTCACTCTCTCGCTTCAGTTTGGTGATCCCTTAAATCTCAGAGTGATTTCAGAATAGGAATCGATTGGAATCAGCTCGGTGATTTAATTTGTTTACCTATTCCATTTACATAGAAATCACTGAGAGGCAAACCTATCTCCATCAAGCTTCAGAATCGATTTCATTTACTGTGAGGTAAACCTATCTGCATCAAGTCGATCTGCATCAAGCTCAGTGATTTTGATTTCGATTTCGATTTCATTTTTTTTTCTCTCTCGCTCATTTTCACTCTCCTCTGTCACCAGACTCAACTCTCTCTCTCTCTCTCGCTCCTCTGTCGATCTCATCCACACTCACCGCCACTACTGTCTTCTCATTATCGCCTCAGATCGACAGCTACAGTGGTGGAAGAGGATGGTGGTGGTGGTGCTCGTTGAAAGATTTTGAACTATAGACAAAGACATTTTGTTAGTAATAATTGTTTCAAAGGATGGCGGTGGTGGTGCCGTCGCTGTAGATCTAAAGGATTTCGAACTAATTAAAGCCAGATCTGAATGTTTCAAAGAACACCTGATCCAAATATGGGGGTTTCGAATCAGATATGTTAGTAAGCTCCTTTGAATCCTTCTGTTTTCAGTAAAAACCTCTTTTCATCAACTTATGTATATGTTTGTGTGTGTGTGAGAAAGTGTTGAAGAAGAGGTTGTAGTGTTCTTGATTTTCCCCATTTGTTTCTTGAATTCTATAAATCTCACCAACAACAATGGTCAAGTTTTATGTTTCTGCTCTCTCTCTCTATATATATATATATATGTATATCCACATATCCAAGATTTGTATATTTATATATTTGTTCTTGTTTCTGCTGTTGAACAAAAAAATGCTTGAAGAGAGAAAGAACGAGAGGAGTTCAGATTGCGGAGAGATCAAATTGCAGTGACCTTGTTTTCATGTAAATTATTCGGTGTCTCGGGTGTGAACGTGTGGAGTTGAAAGTTCCTGTAGAGGATGAGGACCAAGGTTTGAAAAATGGATGTGAATTTGAGACTGGTGGTGGTAAAGAGAGCAAGGTGAATAGTAGTAGAGATGATCAGTTTGAAATGCATATCAACCAAGTGAGCAATTACAGCTATGGAGAAGCTGAGGCATTGACTGATGATATTGAAGGTAATGCAGTCATTTTGTTTTAAGAGGAAGTTTACCTTACCATTTGTATTTTTTACTTTGTTTAATTCAATTCATTTTTCTTAGTAGAGTTTCCCAAATATGGATGTTTGCACTGCTTTTGCAGTTGCGATTAATGCAAACACCACTCAGAACTATGTTGGTTCTAGAAGTTTTATTCAAGAAACACAAGTGAGTTTCTGAACCTCTTCCTTGCATTTTTAGCTCATCATTCTTCATCACAGCAACTGAAACCAAGCTCCTGCCACAGGGATCACATTTGTCTGAAACAGTGATAGTTAATCTATTCAATGCCTTTAGAGATTTGCTCTACACCAACCTTTTGTCATGCCTTATTTGCCTCACTGTCAACTTGTATTATTGTTACATTCATCTGGGTATTTCAAATATTGATTTCTCTGTATTCACCTCTCATCTTGGTATTGTTTTTGCAGATAACTAGTTCAGTTTTAGGTAATTTGTTGGATGTTGTTGAGGTACAGGTAGCGCGTGTTGAGCTTCAAAATCTGACCTACTCAAGTTTTTGTCCTCCATCTGGTAATATATATCCCCTATATATCCCTGCGTTTTTGTTACCTAGATGTGATGCTCGTTGAGAAAATTAAATGTTTGCTTCTATTCTGTTAAGAAACAATTAAGATCATCCTTGACTAATGGGATGTGGTGTGGTTCAACATAGTTCAATGCTACGCAGATAAAAGTTAATTTGTTACCTAGATGTGATACTCTTTTCTTTTTCTTTTTGGGTGTGTGCATGTGTAATGATTTATAACTGCTTCCACTCTTACATTAAGGAAAAGAAAAAAACTATCCATGTTTAAATGCCTAAGTCGATTAATTTTCATTCATTCTATTAATATAAAAGAGGGTAGGGCATAGTCTTTGGCATCATAGAAATTTGTTCCTTCTTATCTTTATTTTATGCTACTTTTTATTGACTTCAATTTTTTTTTTTAATGTTACTTATATTCATTACGAAAATATCACATATTTTGTCATGCATATGGATCCGTAGATTTTAATTTTATTCTATTGATTCTTGCAGTTGAGCAGCTTGAACTACATCTTCACTTCGTTGATTTTAGCAGTGGTAGAAAGGTAGCATTGATTCTTGACATGTCATGTTTAAAATGATATAATTTCGTGATTCAACTCAAATTTAGCAATGGATCAACTTCTCGAGTTCCTCAGTCAAACTTGCATAGCATCAGCAATGCATTTTTTAATCTTAGTTTTACCATATAACTATTGGTTGTTAGAGATGTTCGATTTATGTAGGACAAGATGGTCTTGCATGGTGCATGCAGTAGATCTCTTCTTATTAGTCGAACAACCTGGATTAGATGTTTAATTTTGGAATGATTTGGCATTTAACCAAATTACTATTTGAGAATTGAGTTGAAAATAGATTGGCAATCTGCCTAAAATCCTTTTAAAGTTTGATGGACCCGAAAACTTCCCACTAGAACACTTGCACATGAAGATGGACACACTCTATTGTAAACTTTCATAAAAGCTGCTTCTGTGTGAGCTTTAAATCTCTAATCTTTCCAATGTGTTTACTTTCTTATTAAAAGCTATAGTATACAACTTCAACTCCAAAGTATTTATTATGGTGGTACTTTCATTGGTCTATGACTATATATGTATGTATGTAACTGTTAGCACAAACATGCCTTAGAAAAGAAGGGTCATTTTGATAGGATGAAAAAAACATAATTGTGAGTTGAATGATTGTAATTTGTATGCCACTAAATAGATGCATCTGGCCATCCTGTTCTCATCCATCTTGTCCACTCCACC